TTCTTCTGAGATTGCTGCAATCTGATTTGTTCAAAGCGACAGGGGTGTTTTGTAAGCACGACACATCAAATTCGTGTATTTGGTGCAGTTACCCTGCCCGATTTTGTTCTGTTACCCTGCCTATTTTGAGATGGTTACCCTACCCGATTAGTGCGGTTGCCCTGCCTGCTCTGAGCCGTTACCTTACCTTTTTTGTGCGTTACCCTACCTTTTTTGGGCGTTACCCTGGCTGCTCAGGGCCGTTACCCTGCCTATTTTCCTGCCAAGCCCAAACCCTAACCCTGACCTTACCCATGAGATCAGCCCAACCAACGAAACACTTTATGATTAAATAATAAATATAGCTGTTTAGTAGTCAAATATGAGCAGAATAGGCGAGAGAGACGAACAGTAGTTGGCGGCGAGTGCGAAGAGGGCGAGGGAAGACCAGTAAGAGGGGAAGAGGAGGTGCCAGTATGGTGGAGGAACGGTGAAGGCAGCTGGAATATATCAGAGCTGGCACTGGAGCTGGCATTGGAGCTGGCACAGGAGCTGGCATCGAGGTGAACGTCGGAGTAGTCACTCGAGCGGTCACCGGAGCGGTCACAAGAGCGGGAAGACGAGCAGGAACATGAGTGGGAACAGGGGTGGGCACAAGAGCGGGTACAGGAGTGAGGGTTAGAGCTAGCACCGGAGCTGGCACCAGAGCGGGTACTGGAGCGGGTACCGGAGCTGCCACCGGAGCGGGCATCAGAGCTGGTACTGGAGCTGGAAGCCAAGCGGGCACTGGAGCTTGCAGAGAAGCGGACACTGGAGCTGGCAGGTATCTGAGCTGGCACTGGAGCCGGTATCTAATGGAGCTGGCACTGGAGTGGGCATTAGAGATGGCATTTGGGCGGCTCCAGCTAGAGCTGGCATATATTTGAGCTGACACCGAAGCTGACACTGGGGCTGACCTTGATTTTAGCTCGCACCGGAGCGGGCATTAGAGCTGGCACTGGACCTGGCATTGAAAATCGGAAATAGATATCCAGAGCAAGATTTAGGCATTTATGTGACATGGCCGGGAAAACAGAACATGAGACGGCAAAGACAAAATTAACTAATTACTGGAGGTACCTAGATACTACACATAGGTGGGAGAGAAGGGGACCTCGCGGTCGCGAGGTGGTGCACCTCTAGTAAGTATGAACCAATTATTAATGATATCAACCAAGTTCACTGCTAATTACTGATTCGAATATTTTCCTGACAGGTATCGACTCCTATTTAGTATTCAACCATCATACAGAAAGCTTTGCTTATCGGTATACACTTTACTTGCCATTCCGATTTGTATGCATACGTATCAAGCGATTGCCAAAAGTTCTCACAAATCTTATTTAGTATTCCTGATTTACATTCTGTCACAACAAGTGTGCATACAAATCGAATCATAGCAAACCATACCAACAAATCTCAATTGCAAACTCTGATGCAGTTTCTGTTTCGATTGATATTATACCTCTCAAGCTATCACAAACAGTAGTAACCAATTTCACGATTAGTGTTTCCTTTACATGTTGTCCTAGTAGACATGCATATCTATCCAGCGATTCAATATTGCTCAGTAGTGTCTAGAACAATAATACTATATAACCCGAAGACTGGTAATTGCAACCTTCATGGTTACGTATCGGAATTAGAATGTAGGACAGAATACTGAAGTGACACTTTTCTATCTGTTTTTCTTCAAGTCGTTATTCTATTGGTACGAAATTCAATTTTTGGTCAAAATGTAAGAGATCAATGTGTATTTGGTGGTGGTTGGAACCTGGATGTGGGTAGTTAGGGTTATCAGCGTTCAAATCTGATTTGGTTACGTGTACATTATACAATTTTCGGTCAAAATGAAATACTTGAATGTGTATTTGGTGGTGGTTGGAACCTGGATGTGGGTAGTTAGGGTTACGACCGTTGAAGTTGGATTTTGGTTAGGGTTAGAGAATACGGTTTTCGGTCAAAATGAAATACATCAATATGTATTACGAGGTGGTTTAAACCTGGCTGTTGGCGGTTAGGGTTATCAGCGTTCAAATCTGATTTGGTTACGTGTACAAAATACAATCTTCGGTCAAAATGAAATACTTGAATGTGTATTTGGTGGTGGTTGGAACCTGGATGTGGGTAGTTAGGGTTATGAGCGTTCAAATCTGAATTGGTTACATGTACAAAATACAATGTTCGGTCAAAATGAATTACAATGTGTATTTGGTGGTGGTTGAAACCTGGATGTGGGTAGTTAGGGTTAGGAGCGTTGAAAGTTGGTTTGGTTACGTGTACAAAATACAATCTTCGGTCAAAATGAAATACTTGAATGTATATTTGGTGGTGGTTGGAACCTGGATGTGGGTAGTTAGGGTTACGAGCGTTGAAAATTGATTTTACCTGTACAAAATACAATTCTCGGTTCAAACAAAATACATAAATCTGTATTTGGTGGTGGTTTAAACCTGGATGCGGGTGGTTAGGGTTACGAGCATTGAAGTGGGATTCGCCCAATACGGTAATCCGGGGTTCAGAATCCTAAATGCGTGTATTTCATCGAACCGCAAGATGGGGAAACACGGCATGATTCAGTTTTGAACGCCGTCATGATTGTAGGATAGAGAATGCACGCTCGGTACGGTGCAGTTGTCGATTGTTGTGAGTGTCGGTGATGGAGTGAACCAGGATGGGTCGCCAAGACTCACAGTGAGTTACCCTACTCAACGGCCCCCAACCACCACCTCTGCCCCGCAATCACGACCACCACCCCCTGTATGTGCATACCTGATTATGGGAATCGACTCGGGTCGTCCCGTTCAACCCATAGCAACAGAGCCCAGAATTGTGGGGCGACGGTTCCCGGGGAACATAAAAATCCTGTCCAACATTGCACTACTAGAATTTCCCTCGTAACCCTAGGTAACCCTAGCTAACCCTAGTTTGGCCCATCACTGTAACGGCAGCTAGGCGGGTTGGCTATTTGAGTTGTCTAGGTACAAGGGAGAAGGATTATGCAGTGTGGTTGGGTTTAGCGAAGCGGGTTTCTATTATGTTCTTTCTGTTTCTGTTACGCGAGGGTATGAGTCAGCATTGGTATAGGGTATGGATATATAAGGGGGGCGTTGTCTTGTGATTTCTTGTTTCTCTTTCTTTTCCTTTTCTCTTTATGCAACCTCTGTACTTCATAGTTACGAATACTATTTGGTTCGCGCTACGTCATAGGGTTTACCCGGTATACTAGACCAGGTACAACCATCCATAGTCTACAGTCCCCGTTCTCGCTTTAGGAATACCCTTCGGCCCCATAGTCCACAGTCCCCGTTCTTGCCTTAGGTGTACCCTTCGGCCCCATAGTCCATAGTCCATAGTCCACGAACCTCCTACATCCACGTCTTCGCCTCGGTTGTATCCCTTGGCTTCATAGTTCCTACGCCCACAGTCCCCGTTACAATCACCCTAGTTAACCCTAGCTTACTCTACACCTAGGTAACCCGAGCTAATACTCAACAGCCGACAACCACCACCTCCGACACGGCAATCACAATTACGATCTCCTGTACATGCATACCTGATAATGGGAATAGTCTCGGGTCGTCCTGTTCAACCCATAAGTACCGAGCCGGGAACTGTGCGGCGACGGTTCTTAGACAACCTTAAAATCCTGTCCGAGATTACTCCACAAGATTCATCTTCATTCAATACTGATTATAATCAATTATTAACAGCTCATGCTCGCAAACTGTTATACCTATAGCAAATAAGTACTCTAAATACTCTCCGGTCAACGTCACATATTTTGAACCTAAAAGGGTAGGTTTTAGGAGAATAACAAAGGCTTTTAAAGCAGTGAGATTAATGTTATCCCTGACTCCAAAACGTAGGACTTAGGTTAAAGCTTGACTATATAGAAAGTTTTTAGTGTATATTAGGTAGGTCTGAACCTTATGGAAATGCTTGCAGTTGGCAAGGAGCTTAAAGCCTACTTGAATAGTAAATAGCTCAGTTGATTTAGCAAATTTTCACACCAAGGTTTATGGAAGAATACTGTTACGAACCTTATGTCGATATAGTCTTACCATTGCAAAAGGGATCATTTATTCAAGGGAATAATCATCAGGAGTTTCCGGGAGGTTCTTGGGTATTAGCCATCGGTTGTCTTTCTTTTACTTATAAAGGGTCTCTTACCCCTCACTATCTATCTATAACGTGGGTCTATGCACGAGAGACTATAATGCCAAGGAATACAACCGAGGTAAGAATGTAGTAGACGATATTCGTAACTATGGACTATGGGGCAGCTCTGTTTGATCTAGTAATCAAACTGAACCCTATGACGTAGCGTAGAACAAGAATAATATTCGTGGAGTAGAATACAGAAGAAGAAGAAGAAGAAGAAACTTATATTGCTTTGAAGTACAAGACTTATCGCACACCAAACCAACCGACTAAAACGAAACCGAACAGAAAAACAGAAAAGGAAAAAAACAGAAAAGAAAAACAACGAACACGAACAAACAAGAACAAAACGAACACAAACAAAGGCAAGGAAATTCCAGAACAACACGAAACCAGAAAACCCAACGGCAAGGAGAAATGACATATCTCAGCGGACTCGGGCGCTGGATCCATCAAAAAACACGAATAAAAACGAAACAAAAATAAAAGGTAAGAGGAAACTACCCTTCCTAATCCTGTCCCTAATCATTTTCTTCCGTCCCCTCTTCCAGGTCCGCCTCCACCTCCACCGACTCGTACCATTTCGAGAGTTGAGATTTCTTTGCAAATTGTAGGATGAGGTCCGTTTTCAGGTTTGTAAACATCCAGTTTTCTCAGGTCATCGCTCCGGGGATTTTTTCTATCAGGGGGGCGCGGATTCGAGCCCACGCTGGGCATTCCATGAGTGTATGTTTCGTTGAGTTTTCCATACCACACTGGCATGGTTCGGGGTCTGTATGTTCTGCATGTTTATCTATTCAGGTGGTTTGGCATCGGATTCAGAATACCTTCTTTGCTTCTGTAAGGGTGAGTTCCGCAATCTTGGGAGGGGGCCGGAGTTCCCCCCGATGGTGGTAGTTAGGTATTGGTTGTATATTCCCTTCTTCTAACAGATGGTCGCATAGTAGTTTGTTTTGGTTCCACTTGTCTCTCATATTTCCGGGGGTTTGGTATGGGAGTAAGAGAGAGGCGATTCGGTGCAGGCCTGTCCCTTTGATATTTGCTTCTCTGTATGGGAGGGGCTCGATCAGGGATTCATTGTTGGGGTGGGTTGCGTCGGTGCAGAGTATTCTGGTTCCGTATTTTCTTGAACGATATGTCAGGAGGTATTCTAGGGGGGGTTGGCCTGCTTCACGGAGGAGTTTAGATCTCTTGGTCCCTCGTGGTAGGCCTGTGATGACCCGGGCAGCTTCTTGTATAGTGGTTCGAGGGATCTTATAATGTGGTCTGCGCCAGTCCACCAAGCCTCAGATCCGTAGAGCAGACTTGGAAGGAAGCCTTGTGTTACTAGGTGGTGGATTGTCTTAACTGTTATGCCTGGCAGGCAGGCAGTGTTCCGGATTTGGTGGAGGGCTTTAAGGCCTTTTGCGATTGCTGCTTCGATATGGGGCCGGAAGGAGAGGGTCGAATCTATCCAGACTCCTATATATTTCAGCCTCTCCTTGGGGTATATAGTGGTGTTGTTGATTTTGACTGGAAGTCGAGGTTGTTGTATGGATGATGTAGTGGGCCGGAAGAAGATCAGGTCAGATTTCTCTGGGTCGTATTTGATTTGGAGTGGGTCGGCTTTTATCAGTCTATTTCTCATTCGTTCCTCCATTCTTTTGATAATGAAACCTGGTGTTTTGGATATTTGCACCAGCGCATCATCATCGATATATGTAGTGTCCATCTCTTTCGGGCTGTTTGTTGGGTCCAGGATTACTCCGGCATAGATCATAAATAGTACCGGGGACATGGGGCTACCTTGCGGGACTCCCGACTCATAGGGCTGTGGTTCCTCTAGTTCATGGTTAAATTGGAACTGTAGTTTTCTGCCGGTGTTGAATTCCTTACACCATTCTGTTAGGTATGTGGAGAATTTTTGCTGGTGCATGATTTCTGCGAGGAGTAGGTGGTCTACGCAGTTAAATGCTCCCTGGATATCATTGGTTAGGATCGCTGGTCTGTCCCGCCGGGCGACTCCGGTGCTGTTTTTCAATAGTAGGTTTTGTTGTACTGGCGTTAGGGTTCTTAAAAGGGCGCCGATTGCTGAGATGGTTGGTCTTCCTGCAAATTGATTCGCTGAGAGTGTGCCTAGGATTTCTCCAGCGGTGCAGAGTCTTTGAGCCACAATTTTTTCCAGAATTTTGCTGAAGCATTGTAGGAGGGAGATGGGCCGATAGGCTTTTGCTTCGTGATAGTTTGCCTTGCCGGGTTTCGGGATCGGGATGCATTTTGTTATTTTCCATTCCGCTGGATTTACTCCGTGCCGAAGCATGGCGGAGAACATGTATTGGATCAGAGTTGTGTTTGCCTTAATTATCGCTTTGATGAAGGTATAGGGAATGCCATCCGGGCCGGTCGCCGAGTGCACTGTGCAGGAGTCAATTGCTTTTTTGAGTTCTTCGGGGGTGACTATGTCAAAAGTGTCGCGAAGGTCAAAAGAGGGGGGTCTAATGTTTAGAGGGGGATGGTCGGGGGACGTCCGTTTTGAGGGGAAGAGTTGGGCTCTTAGAGCTTGACACTTCCCCGCAAACGTTTCTTCACCTTGTATGGTTGGTATGATTGTGTCTCTTCTCCTTCCTGCATTTAGGATTTTCCAGACCTCACTACCTTTCGCTTCGTTCATCGTCTTTTCCCGCTAGTCCGCTTTTGCTTTCCAGATCATGACTGTCCATTCTCTGCATGCCTTCCAGTACTGCTCCACATGGTTGGGTTTCTTTATACTTCTCGCCTTCCTTTCTGCCGAGTTTACCTTTGCCTTCATCTGTTTCAGTTCATCTAACCACCAGGAGTTGGCTCTTACGCCCTCCTTTGAGAGTAGTGTTACTATATTGATTGTTGACTTGACCAGTTCTAGGAAGAATTCTACCGTTTGTTCCGTATGTTCCTTGGTTTCCCATGCCTCTGCAGGGAGGGAAAGATTTGATATGTGGTTATCCAATAGCTTCCAGTCTGTTTGTCGCCACATTCGCCTTGGTACAAATGGTGGTTTTTCCAAATGTAAATGGACAGAGGTTCTCCCGTGGTCTGAGCCCGCTCCGTAGGGCTCAGTGCCCCATCGTAGGTTGTGGTCAAGTGTTGAGCCTTTTACAAATTTGAGGTCGATGATTGTAGGCCTTTTCCCTCTGTCTCTGGGGAAATGCGTGTAGACGCCTGGTTCATTCAGGAGGGTCAGTTTCTGTCAGGTTATCCATTGTTTTAGCCGTGCACCGTTGGCGCGGTCTGCTCGAATGTTATTCCTGTATTCATGTGAGGTTACTCCGTACCACATTTGATGGTGGCAGTTGAAGTCTCCCATTACTAGGCAATTGTCGAGGGTTTGGATTGTGTTTGCTATTTGAGCAAAGGGGCCACTTCGCCCTGGGGAGTATATATTTAGGATTTGGGTTTTCTTGTTCTGGATTTCTACCGTGATCGATACTATGAAATTATCATGTGTGTAGTGGTGTTTTGATTTGAGGTTGGCATGTTTGCGGACATATTTTGCGCATTTTGTGTTCGTGTTGCTGGCTGTAAAAAGATAAAAGAGATTTGATTCTGGTGGGTATCCCTCTGTTGAGGTCCATGGTTCTTGTAGTAATAGGAAAAATATACTAGAGTCTGTTTCAGCTTCCTCCACCACCGCCTTGGTGATTATTTTGCTCCGTGCACAGTTAAGTTGTTGTGCGAGCGCGGTGGTTCGGGGCCTAGGCATTATTTGTCATATGTTGATCGTCTTCGGGAACTGGTGTGACTCCGACCGGGGCGGTAGCTTGCACTTGGATTATTGGAAGTAACTCTTGAACGGGTGCGGCCGGTGGGTCTTGGGCGGGTGAGGCAGTCTCCTTTCCTTTGTTGAGGAATCGGCGTTTGACCCTTTCGGGGCATGCTGGGTCAGAGACCTTATGGATTCCTTTGCAGTTCAGACATCTGATTGGGGTGTGGGTGCATTTATATCCTCCCTGGCATTCATTGCATGGGTGGAAGCTGGTGAGGTGATCTCCGGGGCAATGGCCGCATTTCCCATTGTTTTTGCATTTCTCCTGACGGTGGCCGTATTCGAGGCAGTTCGCACACTGGGTGTCTGGGAAGGTTGGGAGGAAGGAGTCGATATGGCAGCTTCGGTTGAAGAGAGATAGGAATTTAACTCCTAGTGTTTCCATTGTGATTTATCCTGGGAGCGCGATGACCATTGATGAGTGGGTTTTCTCCATTCGAGTCTCTGCTCTGGAGATCCAGCGGGGAACCTGGACAAGTTGGAAGTTCTCTCCATAGTTGCTTCTGATTTCGGATGCTACCAATTGTCCTGCCTCGATGCCCTCCCCGATCGTTGTGGGGATTCCGTGGAGAAGGAACTTTGACCATTTGGAGTTTGCGCGGATGTTGGTGACCGGTACTTGTAGGGTGAGGAGGGCCTCCTCGGTTTCTTTGGCATATTCCATTGCCTTTGTTGCTGGGGTGATGAATTTTGTTTCCAGGATGAAGTTATCCTTGGCTGTTCTTCTTGTTGAGATGAAGTGGCAGGATTCGTCCTGAATTCTTGCATTGACAAGGGTCCTGATCTCGGAGAGGTTGACGTCGGATGGGGCAGTAGTTTCAACAATGATCTCTCTGTTGATTTTGGTGTACTCTGGTTTGAAGAGGGGGTCCACTTTTGGCTTTGCCGGCTTCTTTCTTCTTTCGACAACCTGGAATTTTCCTTGGGCAGGACCGGCTGCCGATGCCACGGCGGCCCAGGTGCCTGCTTTCCATCCACGAGGTGGGGCTTGTGGTGGTGCTTGGGGGGGTGGGGGTGGGGGGACCTAAGGAGCTGCCTTTGGTGCTGCTGTTTGGGGAGCCTCTGGAGGGGCCATTCTCTGTCTTTGTTGCGGTTACGTTTGTTGTGGTTGTTGTTGCTGTCGTTGTTGTTGCTGCAGTTGGGGCTTGTTGAGGAGGGAATGGATCGCCGAGTGCATATTGGTGATCATCATTGTCTGTGCCTCGATTTGATGTTTCAGTGATTTCACTGTTCTCCGCAGTGTAATCGATTGCTCTTTGAGGATTTCAATCCTGTCGGAGGGTGGGCAGATCCGGCTGGTTGCATGTCTGATGGCACAGGTGATGTAATTTAGGTCTGTCTGGGTGTGAGTAGTATGGGGGACAGTGCTGGGATAGAGATAGTCAATTCTCGGTTGGTAGGGGTCGTTGTAGTCGGATTCTGTTGCAAAGGTTGTGGAAAATTCCTGTTCCTGTGCCTCGGGTGGGGTTGGGTCGGGATTTTGGGTGTTCCTGTTCTGTGGGGGGGCTGTCCCTTGTGGGATATATTGGGTGAAAAAGGACTGGAGTGAAGCTTGCTGCGACATGACTGAATGTCCGGTTCTTCCAGCGGCGTAGGTTGATGTTTCAGATAAGTTTCTTTTCCTTCCTTTCGGGAGGTCAAGACTGGAGAATTCTTCGCTAGAAGCCAATTTTCATAGAGTTTCTTTCACTTGGAACAAACAAAGGTGACCGTTCGGTCGGGGACAAGGAGGCTCAGCCTGGTATGGTATACCAGGGTAAACCAAAGTAATGAGAAATAAAAGGTAGAGCAGGTAAAGTATACGATAATAAAATGTTTTTCGAAGCGAGATTTATTGTCAGAAAGTTTTGCGAGCCAAAGGCGAGCTGGTAGAATACAGAGAGAGAGAGAGAATCTTATATTGCTTAGAAGCCGAAGCTTATCGCACACCTAACTACTCGACTACAACCTCTACCGACTAATCCAAAGATGAAACAAAGTACAACAACTAACTACCGCAGCTACGAGAACTACGTACATGATAAGAAAAACAGTGCACGAAGAGGGCGCGAATAACAAGTAGTACAGGTAAGCAGAATCTGAGCGACAACAAAGAACCCTCTCCGTGGTAAGAAAGAACCCCAGACTTCTCCGTCAACTACATTAGCGAGCACAATCCTAAACATGGTGTTCAACCGAAACGGTATCATTACCAACGTCCCCGGTGTCATATCTGTGGACGAACCTTAACAGGACTGGGAAACCACGCACACGAAGGCAGGAAAGGCCAACCGCAACAGCGTCAGGGGTGAAACCGAGGGGGGATGGGTCGAATATGGGCCCTCGAGCATCTGCTTGTCGGGCAGCGAGGGAGTAAGGAGTGGTGACTATAGTGGGGAGGGGGCACGGCGTGGAAGCTGGCCATTATGGTAACCTTCCTGAAGTCAAGTAAGTGTTTGTGGTCACATTCGAGAGTGCCGACCGTAGTGTTGAGGGGTGGTCTCGGAGACCGGTTGAGTTTAGGGGTGAGGGGAGTGGGCCGCCTCGGTTAAGGTATGTATGGTCGCAATCGAAAGTGCCGACCGTAATAAGGGGTGGTCTCGGAGACCGGTTGGGTTGGGGTGAGGGGAGCGGGCCACCTCGGTTAAGGATGGGTTGCCTGGTTGAGGCCGAAAGAGAGGGGTAAGGTTAAGGCTCACAGGAGCTCGCGCTTGAAGGGAGGGGCTACTTTCATGGATCGACTAGTGGATATACGGGGTTATGAAGAGTCGGATTAGTCAGAAAGGTTCTTCTGGGTTCTACCGGGTTCTGTTGATCATTAATGTATGAGTTATGTTGTATTTATCCTCGCTGAGATTTCCTTGAGTATATTAAGGGGGTTTGTTTGTATTTCTCGTTCTTTTTCTTCTTCTTCTTCCTTTACGCAACGTCTTCTGTATCTACGCTGTCTATTGCTATACAATATTATCGTCCTCTTCTTTCTTTAAGAAGACCACTGCCTCGCTTCCTCCTTGTCTCGTCGAACCTTACCAACGCTAGAGTCCCGTAGTACCCTTATTGCGAATTCCCATACCGTCCCCTATTACACTCTTCGTACCCTGCGGAATACTCGCTACTCCCCCCCTTGAGAAAAACTAATCCCACTGCTAGTAGAATTGGACCTATGGTCTTTTGAGAAGTAGTAATCAGTCAAAATATTATAGCTTCTCTTTTAACATCTTGTGGTTGTATAAAGTACTAGTATTCCATGCTTTATCGCGTCTCAAACTGTCTCAGAATGTGCCGAATTTGTTGCTTTGGTACCAGTAACCTCTCTAGAAAATCAAGTCAGGATTGGGTATATGGCTTATAAAGGATTCAAACCTTCCTATCTTCCTGCATAAGTACTGCTTATCTTCCTATTCATATATCAACATCTTCCTCAAAACCTAATACTTTATATATGCTTCGACACCAACTACTTACTTGAATCCAAATATGAATATATTTTTACCAAGCTCTAGATTTTAACCCCTATACCAACACTACTACATACTCCTAAACAAAACCAAACAGATATCAAAATAGCAGCAAATCGATTCTAAAATTGAGATCAAATAAAAAGCTCAGCTTTTGCATGAGGGTGCACCGAAGAGAATTCACATATTTTTGTTCTTTCATAAAAGCAGCTCTGTAGTCACTGGAGTATGTGTAGGCAATCAGGTTTGAATAAATATTTGGGCAGGCAGTTACAGAAAAAAAAATAGGAACCGGAGTGGATACGGAAGTATGCAGGTCGCTAACAAAGGTTTATACAGAATTGGGTAGAAGGATAAAAAATATAACAATGGTACGGAAACGTCGTCATATGTAATATATCAATTTGCAGTTTAATCTCATTCTAGAAGCAAAGGCTGCTAATGAAACCTGCCAACCGGGCTAATGATGATAGCGTAAACATCAGGAAAAAATGTGTTTCGATAGGACGAATCGGTCAGCCTATATATACAAATTATTATTCCACGCCTATAACCTTGTTTGTTGCTAACAAAACCTCGTCCCGCTACTGCTAAAATTTGGAAAATCCTCCTTTAGTAACTCGTGAGCATCCGAAATATTACCTTTCATATTTTAACGAATAGTTGGCGTCCAAAATATGATATCTCATCTTTTGATGCCTGATCACCTCCGAAAATATAATAAATCGTCGCTCATCTGGCAAAGTTCTAGCAATAGTCCCGACCTTGGTAGCAAACTCCCAAATTACATCATATCTGAGCCGTTATCAACATTCCAAGGATTCTTGCTTACTTACACACCTGATTATCTGACTGTCTTATTCTCGACATCTACATCAACACCTACCTCGTACCTACTTCGATACCTACCTACTACCTGAATGAAACTTAACTCCTACTAGCAGTGATACCTAACTTCTAACAGCAGCGATGCCTGAATAGGTATATACTTACCTTTTGATTTTGATGAGTGTACTGACACCGCTACATACTGCTAAAAATCCCAAATTCTCAATAATTTCACCAAAATCACTTTTGGTTTCTATTGTTAATATATATTTGCGGCTTCAATCTGCTGAAATATTTACGGAATATACACTCTTTTTATTTTTTTTTTATTGAATTATACGTCGGGGAATAATTGAATTAATGAAAACATTCGCGGCCAAACTTTTCAGTTGAGGGTAAACTCTGTTTGAGTTATGCGAACTATAAGGCGGTGAAGATTTGAATGGGAATAACGGTTAATGAAATTGGCAATACTGCAAAAGCTTTCGGATTCAATTTGGAACTTTTTATTACTTTGGATTTATTGATATTACTCCGGTATTTATAAAAATGTTTTTAACAAGTAATATTTACTACATCAGCAAACGGTACCAACTTGACCGAAGGCACGGGAGACATGGAAGATCTCCGGAGATACCCGCCAAACTTTAATTCTCTGTAGTGGTTTAAGCACCAGACTAGTGATCTGGAGACTTGTCAATGGTTCGGGAGGTTCTCCCGAACGCTTTGGGCGTTATCAGGATGCTATACGAGATTTGTACTAGTGTCTGATGATAGCAGATACAGATTTTTGAAAGCCTCAGCAAGCCATCCCGAGAACGAGTGACATCTCTGATACTCTCTGGAGGACGATTCTTATCCCCTGTTCCTATTCCATACCGGCAGTGATACTATAGTAAGATAATCACATATACGTATTCACAGAAACACACTCCTCACAATCTCCTGAGCTAGTAGGAAAACTGTTTACCCTATCCTAAACCCTCCCGAGGGATCAGAAAGGTGTACTAAACTGTCCTGGCCCAATAAAAAAACTATTCACCCCTTCCCATTCAATGCCGAGGTCGTGTCGAGCCCTCCTATACTCTACTGAGCTATTAAGAAAAGTATTCAACCCAACTCACAAGTTTCCGAAAGATAAGCGAGCCGTCCAATGCTCTCCTGAGCCATTAAAAAAAAAATTCAACCCCTCTCACACCCTCCTGACATATAGGGAGCCGTCTCATTCTCTCCTGAGCACCCAGCCGCTCTCCTGACATCCCAGGAGAACCTCCGAACAGACTCTAACAAGGCTCAGTGGGACTTAGTAACCCAAACCCAAACACATAGTAATATATTAGCATACAAAATTTCTGATGGAGCGTAGAGACAATGTATTTATTTATCCATATCCACGAAAGGAATTCCTACCGCTTATTCCTCCTATGCCCTTGGTTAGGCTTCAGAAGGCATTGGTATAATATCTACTGCCTCACTTAGCCCCTCTACCCTATCACCTAGCCATAGTGACAAATCAATGTTGTCCACGTTGCTATGCTCGACCGTAGCTCTGTCTCCCTGAGCCTTGCGATGGGCTTTTGCAGCCCTCCACGCCATGATATCTACTGCCAATGCCTCATAATCTTCCTTCTGCCCCACCTTCGATATCAACTGCCTGGGCCCTCGTACTTCCTCAACGTATATAGTAATGTTATTAGTACATTCACCACCATGTATAGTTGCATCGTGATGTTGATCTTCTCTTCAATCGTTTCTCGTATCACTTCCAGAGTGCCCACTTAGTTCTGTACACTTCTCTTCTTCCATATATCTATCATCTGAGAATACGTTCCTTGACATTGACAATTCAGCAGGAGCCTTTCACAGAGCTGGAGACGCCTTAAACATGATATCCATATTCTGTCTTGGGTTGAAGTGCACACCTTCTAGGTAATCTCCAGTCGTCCAACATCAGAGAACAAACTAGATTCCGGTACAGATCAGGCATATGAATGCCAGAGAAATACCATCGACGAAATCAGGATCCTTTGCATCACGTATCTTGCCGCCTTTGTAATACTTCAGAAATATCACGTCCAGGATTTCTGGAGCCCAGAAGTATCAACGGCCTCCCTGAAGTCTGTCAGAGCCTTCTAAAATGCTAACCAAAGACAAGAAATCTTTAACGAATAGTTGTCAGGGTCATTGATGAGACGGTCCTTTTCGAGTAGATAATTGACTTTGGTGGCCCATTTCTCAGCTGTAAGAAGCTCATTCATCCCATACAGGATGAACTTCGCTATATAGTCTTTGACAGCATAAATAAGGTCTGATCTCACTCGTGAAGATACAATTTGAACCTAGTCGTATAAGCAAGGGCTCCCTGAGCCTTATGGAATGCTTTAAACCTACTCACACCTGTTCTATTACTTTTAGTCAGATTTAAAGTGGTATGAAAATGATCGCTTGCTTCTGCCTAAAATTTTCGAATATTAACCATAAGAGAGTCAGGTTGTGGCCAAGGTTCCTCAAGCAGTGTATAACACCCGAGAAGCTCTCCGATGTGTTTAATTATTAGCTTGTATTCTGGCAACTTGCTATACGACCTGCCAACTGACTCCGGCCCAGGTGTTCCATGCACGGATGGGAAACCATGATATTGGGTAGCCGGAGGGGTACGATATGACTGTGAAGCCGCTGGTGTATGATAAAGCTTATGCTCATATCGTAAGGTGCTTAACGAACCAACCGAGGAATTTGGAGATGTAAAGATTGCTCTCTCGAAAGCTTGCCCGACCCTCAGGGGGTGCTGTTGCATCGTCGGTTTGGGTGGATTAACTGCATCACGATTGCCATACTTGTACGATAAGTATAGACAAATCAAAGAGTATAGTGGGCACATACCTGCGTTATTTTCACCGGTACAGACAAAGAAGCAATTGCTTCTTCTACTGGCCTACTTGATATCTTACGGGAGGCCACAAGATCCCTAACGGAGACTACAGGAGCCTCCACTGCTCATTTTCTGAGCCGTGATCCCTATTTTGAGGGAGCCTGGAAATGTCTTCGTTCTGGGGGAGTCTGAGATAGTATTCATCCTGAGGGGGGCGTTTGTAATGACCGGTTAGATAGTGGTGGTAGTGGAGAGAGCCTACATTCAGAGAGGGGACTAGGTATTAATCGGGGCGGAGCTAAGATTGGTGGTGGAGGTGGGAGAATCTCATCTCCAGGTTCCTCCTCAGCATTGTCATCCACATAGTCATAGTCATCTTCATATATCTACAGGGCAGCGTCGTCCTCCTCTGAATGATCGTCAAGTCTGATCCACCCACGTAAGGAGTATTCCACCACTGCTTGGACCTCAGGATAGCTATCAAAACTCTCTACAAAGCTCAGTGGGCCGTTACCAAAATCTGTATCCACCTCTGTTGTCGATCCAGAAACTATAGAGTTTATAGAATCGAAAGAGCTGGCCGCACTGGAAACACTCATTGCACCCCGTAAGCGTTTATTAACAGAAGACGAAATTGAAGCACGCTGACTGGGTCTATCGGGAACTGAGCGTTTCTGTTATTTTGGTCTGGGAGGCATGCTTGCCGTGGTGGTAGTTGAGCAGAATATGCATCCCCAAAACCTTGACAAAGGCCCTCGGGGCCTCTACTATATCATACCCGAAAAGCACTGGTAACTGCCTCGAGGAATCAACTCCGCTGTCAATAATGGGTACTTTTAGTTTATTGCGGGCGGCTTCGATTTCTTTTTTGTATTTGAGGACTTTGGTAGCTGCGGTTGTGAATATTGATTCTAGGATATAGTTATCTTTGTTCGTTTTCTGGTTGGTGATGACTTGGCAGTCAGGATCTTGGATTTTGGAGTTGATTTTGGTTCTGACATCGGGGGGGGGGGGGGGTGATTAGCGGATCCCTGCTTGTCTCCGAGTCGATAACAAGTTCCCCATTGATTTTTGTGATTTCTGCTTTAAACAGTGGGTCATCTTTAGGTTTTTGTTTCTGCTTGTTGGTGACTGTTGTGAATTCAGTCCCTGTATCTTGGCCGGCGGCGACAGCTTATGATTCGTGTTCGCTGCTGAATTAGATTGGGCAGGGGGCACAGATATTTCAAGTTTCTTGCCTTTGTGTGATGGGGTGAGTCGGCTTGCAGCTGGGGCTGGGGGGGCTATGATCGGTCTGTAGTGGTTGGAATCGTTCTGTTGGGTCTGGTTCATTGAGGAGGTTTGGTGTTGTAGCCAGTGGAGTTTCTCGTTTATTATGTCAAGATTCTTAGTTATTTCGAACATTTGTTTTGCTGGGATGTCGAGGGTGTGTTTCAGAGCCCCATTTTGCTGGAAAATGAGTTATTGCTGGCAGTGTTATCGTGGTTGATCTGGTTGATGTTTTGTTTGATCCGTTCAATAGCGATGGTGACGGCGTTACTAACTACCCATAACATATAGTTCAGGTCTATCCTGGCGTTTGATTCCTGCAGGACAATCCTTGAGTAGATGTAGTAATATCGGGGTGTGTATTGTTCATTGTATGGGGCGTGTTCTGCGAAGATGAAGAATGGTTCATTGTTGAGTTGGATTTGTTCAATGATAGTAGATTGAGTTGATTGAACTTGTTGGGTTTCGGTGAAACGTGGTGGTGCGAAAATCCCTGAGGGTAGGGTTTTCACGAAAGAGAAGTTCAGGAAGCCTTGCTGGGATGTGACAGATATCCTGGATTGGTTGAGGGCAGGGGAGACTTGTGAAAGTCTTCTTTTCCTGCCTGCAGTGCTCGGTGGGGTAGAGGAGCGTAAGGGTGTTGGGTATAGCAGGTTATAAGTTTTTGCTAGTGTCACGAAGGTTGTTTTCCTTTGTTAAGCAAGGGGTTTGGGACAGATAAGAGATCACAATTCAGGGACCAGAGTGTCAATAACTTAGCGTACAAACAGATTTGCGATAAGATTTTAGTATATTGTACGGTCTATTGACATAGAGGATCCTGTTTGCAAAACGTTTTTATCGGTTTTGTTAGGATTGTAAGTTGTCGATGTTATATATTAGAAGTTACTTTATGAGTATATTTAAAAAATTTCTTTAGGTTTCGTGGTTAGCGGCTCTCACATAAAACTGATATATTTCAAAAGAATTAAGTTTGTGGATCGGAAAAATATAATCCAGTGAGTTACCAGAAGTAATCCATTTGATTAGTAATTTTGACCAACCCTAACAAGGGGATATGCAAAACCAGACTGCAACAATACACAATATGGAATGTCGGTCATGGATCGTCACTCACATATTGGGTTGCAGGTATTGCACATAGCGTTGTTTGAGATTGAAATCCGAATTAGTGTTAGAAGACACACCGGGCGGTAACCTGGAGGTCAGAATCCGAGTTGGCGTAAGAAGACACAGCGGAGACAAGAAGTGGGATTCGCCCGATGCGGTAACCCGCAGTTCGAAATCCGAAATTTATGTATTCCATCGAAGCAGAGGATGGGGAAACGCGGCATCATTGAATTTCGTACGCCGTCATGATCGTGGGCTCGAGACGGTGCGTTCGGTGCCATGCAGTCATCGATCGTTGTACCCGTCCGGTGAGTGGTGGTGCCGGGAGTGAAGCAGGATGGGTCGCCAAGACTCACAGTGAGTTACCCTACTCAACAGCCCCCAACCACCACCTCCACCCCCGCAATCACGACCACGACCCCCTGTACGCGTATACCTGATGATGGGAATGGACTCGGGTCGTCCTGTTTGACCCATAGCCACGGAGCCCGGAATTGTGGGGCAACGGTTCCCGGGTAACCCGAAAATCCTGTCCGACATTCCACTACTAGAACCCTAACTAACCTTCTTTATCTTTAACTTGATTGCTTTCAGGCGTCAGCAGTTCTGTAGGCCGTCATGATTTGAGGGAGCAGTGTCTCGATATGGTGGCAGTGGCGTGCAAATACCTGTCGTTGTATGCCCTATTCTTTCCAGAATCGCTGCATCATTTGGTGCAAAATCACTGCCTGTTTGTTGCATGATTTGGAGTACAATCTTTGCATAGGCGATGCATGATTTGGAGCAGGAGCGCTGCCTGTTTCGTGCATAAATCGCTGCAGCCTTGGTGCTTCATTGGGTGGTAGCGGAGGTGTCAATTTCGTGCATTTGGAGGTGCTAGATTTGTTGGCGGGGAGCCGGTGGTAGAGGTACGGCCTGTGGAGCTGCGGCCTGTGAAAGTGCACACTGGGGAGGTGCGCGCTGTAGCCGAGAGGGTACTGAAGCCTTGCGAATTTGTATGTGTTGTGCGCGCAAACCTGCGTTGGGTCGGAACGCAATGCATCCATACAGGTAGAACAACCACCTCACGACGCTTGTTCTAAGAGCCAAAAGCAAGTCAACCGTACGTCCCCTATATATCAAAAGGAGAAGTGCCTGAAGGGGACTGTACGGCACGTAGAACTGCATACTATAGGGGTCTCCCTGTTTTTGGTGATGGGGGGCTAACCTTAACCCTGAGTTCACCCCATCAGAAATGGGTATAATGCCAAAGAATCAACTTCTACAAACAGAATGTCCAGCTCATGTTGCAACAAACAGTGAACTCAGAACCGCTACATGCTGTGAGCTCAAAATTACTGACCTCAGAAATATTGACCTAACTCTCATTAACAATAAATAAATGGTTAGTAACAGGATATCATTTCTATCCATCTGATAATACGATATCACACACACCCACCTGATCGTGATGAATTACCCCCTTCCACCTGGTTTATGCTATGTCAGTTAGTTTCTCCTACCGGTTAGCGCATAGCTGGTACGTATTGTAAATACCTACAATTGCTTGCAGATTCAGTACTTGATTACCTGGAGGGTTTGGCAGTTATGTAGGATATACTGGATTGATTTGGCAGGAGAGAATGGTAACCATCAGCAGGTTTCATGCCCTATTATTTTTAAATCTTCAAAGATTGGAGGCTTAATTGGATCGTGGAGGACATTTCGAGCTGATGCCTCAATTGCTGCAAAATCAATCCAGATTTGTTGCACATTTGGTGGCGATGCAGGCACACAATTCACTGCAGAGGGTGGTGCTGGATTTGGTGGTGAATGCTTAGTGTCAGACATTCATGTTGGAGAGCAAATGGTGGGGGTGGTATTGAAGTGGGCTTACGTTCGGTTGCAGATTTGCATGTTCGAGAATTTGTACGGTGGGAGTTGCGGAAGGGCTTGCGGAACTGTTTGGAGAACCGGATTTGTATATGGAGTAGGTGAATTTCAATGGTTTGCACATCTGTAGTAGAGATGCCATGATGGGGTACGACCGTGACTTCGATCATGTAGAAAAATAAAAAATAGAAACGCACGAGTTATGATAGGACTTGTTCGAGAGGAAGATAGAGTTTGTTTGTTTGATTGTTTTTGTAGTCTAGGAATTTAATAATTTTAAGGGGTCTTCTCGCTAGTAAAGATCCACTGATGATGGGAGCCCAACCTGGAGCAACACCGGTTTTTTATAGAAGTCCGGTACCTTTATTCAGGTTTTTTGTTCTGACTGGCAATCTGCCTGTCGATAGTGGGGGGCACAGCGACTATTTCCTACAGAGCGGAGTTAGGAGTATTGCTACCACACCTCGGAGTATCTGCTATCCGAGTCAAATCAAGCAATCTCTGCCAGGAGCTGGTCGCCTCCTAAAAACTAACAGGAACAACCGACCAAACAACAATTACTTATTCAATTGATTTGGGTGTTTATAAAGCGAAGTTTTGCTTTAGTAGCTTGGGTCACACTCTCACTCCCCAAAGGTGCACCGGGGTCAAATAGGAGGGTTCCGGCGGTTTGACGCTCCAGGGGTTATTTTTGGGGTCCAAAACATACTTTTTTTCCAACGTTTTCACAACTCCGCCAATGATTCTCAAACAGATCGAGATACCGACCGGATCACCTCCGTCATGCTGGAGCATATCCTCTGGGCTTTCGCTTGCACCTGTAGGTTTGACTTGTAAGATTCCTTACTCGCTAAAATCCCTACCTTCCATACCAACAGAGGTAGAGGCTCACCTGCCCTTGCCTTCATCCGTCGATGAAGAACAAGCTGCGGTTACCCTAGGGTCTTTTTAGCTTAACTGGTAGAACAGGTACTTTTGTAACAGCCTTATCGCGGCCCTGTTACAACATTCAAGCTTGTCTGCAGTCCGAATCCAATTCATACATGCAGATAGGTATTATATGGTCATTCTAGCACCTGTGGTATTATCAAACTTGAATCAGGTGTTGTACGCTCGATGCACCACCTGGAGCAGTTCCCAATTAGATACCGTACCATGGTTCCAGTACTGGTAGCATTGTTTAGATCGCAACTATATGGTCGTTACAGAACTTGAAAATACACAATTTGTGTCACTGCTAACCTCAACATTGAGCTCACTTCCCTAAATTTGCAGACACACACTTGTCAAATGAGTCCTGTACGGGGCGATTTTGCAGAGGCAGAGTTGTCAAATACCTCCCGTACGAGAGGATTATGTAAAGGTAGAGTTGTCAAATACCTCCTGTACGAGAGGACTTTGTAGAGGTAGAGTTGTAAAATACCTCCCGTACGGGGTGATTTTGCAGAGTCAACTGCCTGCACCTACATCCCGTACGGGGTGAATTTTCAGGGAATTTTCTCCGCACACCTCCGTACGGGAGGATTTTGCAGAGTCAACTGTGTGCACATGGCTCTCGTACTGGGTATGCACATGGGTATGCACCTGGCTCTTGTACGGGGCCATTTTGCAGAGTCAGAGTTGCGAAATACCTCCCTCATGGGGCGACTGACTGGTCAATGCGTTGACACCCCTCTGTCCTACGCCACTTTTGCTAAATCAATCATCATCGGTCTCCTCCACACGCTACGATTTGCAAAAAGCTCGCTATCAGTTTCTACTGTATGGGGCTTCTAGAACAAACGCCGCCCTGACCCAATCCCATACGGGCAGTTGGCGGAGCAAAGTTCTTACAATCTCTACCGTATGCCATCTTTAGCATGGTCGGTTTCATTGAGTACCTCCTGTATGCCGCCTTCAGCAGAGACGGTGGCCTGGACACTTCACTGTACGGTACTTTGTAGATATGTAGTGGAATTGAGTTCCTCCCACACGCCGCCCTTAGCAGAGGTTGTACCTTGAGAATCTCCCCGTGCAGGATCTTTTGGCAGAGGTAGTGCCTTGGGAATGTTCCCGTACACTACCTTTTACCACAGTCAGCGCTATCGGATACCTCCCACACGGGGATTTTCAGCAGAACCAGTGCCTTCGGATACCTCCCGTACGATACCTTTTGGCAGAAACAGTGCCATCGCATGCCTTCCATACGGGACTTATTAGCCGGATCAGTGTCATTGGATACCCCCCATACGATATGCCTTTTACGATTTTGCGAGATTTGACCATTTTAGGCCTAAAATCTAGCCTTAAGCCGAACCCCACACCACCCAGAACGGGTATAATTCGGATCTGATTGTACCCTTGCCGAAGGTCAAGTTTGGTGTACCACTTGGCTTTGGATAGGCGGTGGAGAGTTTCCTGGATGAGTGGCAGCGGGTAGCGGTTTTTGACAGTGAGTTCGTTGAGGCCACGATAATCGACAAAGAGGCGGAGTGTTCCATCGGCCTTTTTAACAAATAGCACAGGGGCACCGGCAGGCGAAGAGCTGGCCTGAATGAAGCATTTTTGGAGGTTGTCCTGTATGTATCCTTTAAGCACAATGAGTTCCTCGCGGGATATACCATAAAGTGGCCCAAAAGAGGGCTCTTTCCCTTCATTGAGCGGTATCTTATGATCATAGGGGCGGCGAGGCGGCATCTCGTGAGCGAATTTTTCGTCCATCATCTCGTGAAACCTCTTATACTGGGTGGGGGCTCGGGTTCTCCAGTCTTCTTTAGGGGCCTCACCCATTGTTTGATCTATTTCCTCAATAGTTGTACTAAAGATTTGGAGTTTGTCCCTTCTAGCAAAGCGACAAAGAGCAGCTGAACTGACGAGGTGGAAATAGGGTGGTGGTGCAACCCCTCTAATGGGAACGTGTATCGCGGAAGAGTTGCACTTGCGTTTGCAGTATTCGGAGTCGAACAGTATGCTATTGTCTTTAAACCGTAATGTGGCGCTGTGCAATTGAAGGCAGGGGATTCCGAGGACGAGTGGGTACGAGCCGAGTTTGGTAACGAAGAAGGGGGTGATTTCATGGTGGGAGTCAATTGATAGCGGCAGATAGCAGAGGTGGGTAATCTGTCTGGAAGATATGGGCCGTCCGTCGATGGCTTAAAGAGTGCGGGGTGATTTAAGAGAGAGAAATGGGAAGTTGTTATAGCGCGCGAATGTTTCATCAATGAATGCGAATCCGGAGCAACCGGTATCAATCAATGCGTGAGTCTGAATGGATATTTAATTTTTTATAATTTTACAAGAAGCAGCAAAATGATCCCCATCCAATTTATCCTCCACAGACGATACCGAGAAGCCAGAGATAGAAAACGCAGACAAAGGAGAGACATTGGAAGGTCTCGGGCAGGGGCCATTAATCAAGCCCGGGACTACTGAAAACCCGACTCGGAGGAGGCGGGACTAGCGAGGGGTGAAACAGCGGGATTGATGGCCGTATGACCGGGTGCGAGGAGGGTGCCTCTCATAACCGGTTGGTTACCGCGCGGGCGATTGGCAGAGGGGCAGTTGTCAAAGATATGACCGGAGTTAGCGCAGTACATACAGAGATTGTTGTCCCTTCGCCATTGTTTTTCGGCGGCAGAGGTTTTGCGTTGTCCATTGACAAAAGTGTATCGTTGTTCGATGGCAGGGCGTTGAGTGGGACGGCTTTGGAGAGCGGAGAGGTCCATTGGGGTGAGGCCTCCGGCGGTATGAGATGGGTGTGCAACAGCAGCGGGGGCGGTAAATTGTTCCATCGTATTCCGAATGGCCCGTTGTTCAGCTTTACGGCCCCGAACCTGCTTGTCAATGGTCATCAACATGGTGGCATAGGCCTCGACGGTGTTAGGCTTGTCTGTCCGGTAGGTCATAGCGTCCTTCAGGTCTTCCGATAGTCCTTCGACCAGGGCATCGATCTTGGCTCCTTCGTTGTAGTCCAGGTATGCCACAATACGGAGCAATTGCGACTAATAGGTGGCGAAGTCCCCTTTGCCTTGCTTGAGGGCAACGAGTTGGTGACGGGCGGTACCCCGGGGGTCTGGATCTCCAAACGAGGCTTCCAGGTGGGCAACGAAGGCAGTGACGGAGGAGAAGGGGGCGGCAGGGTTAGCGTTAACGAGTGGAACGACCTGATCAAGGGCCCTTCCTTCCAAGCGACTGACGGTATAAATAACCTTTGCTGCCTCGTCTCGGAACCGATCATGGTTGACTTCAAGTTTCATTCGAAGTTGGGTGATGAATCTGGGGAGCTTGGTACGGGTGGCATCGAATTTTTCGGGGTCTGGAAACTTTTCGGACCTGAAGGCGGGGACAGTAGCAGGTGGGGGAGCAGTGGCAACGGGGATGGCGACGGTAGGGGCGGGGGTAGCACAGGCGATATTGAGGTCGAGATTGAGCCAGGTTATCCGCTCCTCGAGGTTGTCAATGGTTTCATTGCCGGCGGTGAATTGTGTATGAAGGGTATCCCTCTGGAAGCGGACGAGCTGGACGAGGGCGGCGATGTTGTTGAATAATTCCAAAGAGTCGGCCTCGTCCTGCTGCCTGAATCCTTCTACATCGTTGGGTGGGGCCGGTACAGGTGGGTCGGGGGTGGATATGTCGTATGGTGTGGATGACGACGCAACGTAATCTCAAGGGGGCGAGTAGCGAGTATTCCGCAGGGTACGAAGAGTGTAATAGGGGACGGTATGGGGACTCGCACTAGGGGGTCCTAAGGGTTTCTAGCGTTGGTAAGGGTCAACGGGATAAGGAGGAAGCGAGGCGTTGGTCTTCTTGAATAAAGAAGAGGACGATAATATTGTACAGCAATAGACAACGTAGATACAGAAGACGTTGCGTAAAGAAAGAAGAAGGAAAAGAACGAAAAGTACAAACAACCCCCCTTAATATACTCAAGGAAATCCCAGCGATGACAAATCCAACATGACTCATACATTAACGACCAACAGAACCCGGTAGAACCCAATAGAACCTTTCTGACTAATCCAACTCTTCGTAACCCCGTATATCCACTAGTCGATCCATGAAAGCGACGAGGAAGGTGACGGAGGAAAAGAAGTCAGCAGGATTAGTGTTAACAAGTTGTATGACCTGATCAAGGGCTCTTTCCTCCAAACAGGTGACCGCATGGATAACCTTTGCTGTCCCATTGCGGAAACGATTATGGTTGACTTTGCGCTTCATTCGGAGTTGGGTAACAAATCCGGAGATTTTGGTCCGGATGCCATCGAACTTTTCAGGGAACGTTTCAGACCCAACGGTGGAGACAGTGGTTGATACAGTAGCAGCGAAAATGGGGACAGGAACATTGGAGGCGGGGGTGGTGTGGTCAGTTGGGGGTGGACATAGCGTATGGTTCGGAATACGACTCAACGTAATCCTAGGGAGTTGGGTAGCGAGTATTCCGCAGGGTACGGGAGATGGTCATAGGGGCTGGTAGGTTAATCAGGGAGAGGGAATGGAGAAACTTACAGTAGTTTAGGACTAGCGGTGTTAAGGTCGGAGAAGTGAGATGGCCTTCTTATAAACGAAGAGAAAATAGTACTGGAATAGCAATAGCCAGCGTGGATTACCTAAGCCTTTCCATACCAAAAGAAAGAGAAGAAAAGAGAGGGAAAGAGAATAGAATCGAGGGCAAAACCCCTTAATACACATAAAGAAAGCTTAGCAATCACAAATCCAACGTGACTCATACCCTTAAAATCGACGGAATCTTCTAGAAATCCATATAATTTTGCTGATCAATTCCTCCCTTTGTAACCTACTATATTATTCAATCGGTCCATGAAATCGAACAAGGTTTTAGGATCTGAATTGGGTTACACTGATTACGCTCAAGCCATTGAGTGCTATACTGACCGCCAGTCAGCTCAAATATGAAATTCTCAATCAAAAGCACCCACAATCCTAATTCTAAAGACTTGGGGGAATTCGGGCGCATACTGTTAATAGATAGGTGAGGTGGAACAGATGTTATCTTGCGGACATCATCAAATTCCTACCCGTTTACAAAAATACAAAATATCAGGATACACGTTATGAAGACTGTTATCAATTAAATCAATGAGTTTTAGAGAGAAGTGCTGAATATTGTTCACTCTCAAATTCAGAATATAATCATAGATTGTATATATTTCAGAATGGATTGGAAAGCCGCAACCTAGTGTTTTGAGAAGATATTTTGCAAACCGTAATTCAGTATTCAATCCATTCAATATTGATCCAGAACATGGTATATCAATCAAGCCATCAAATACATTGAGTATCAATTCCAGTATTTTACTGTGCCAATAAATATTCATAGCTTTCAAACCTTCATAAACGATTGTAACAAATGAGAATTTGAATTTCTGATACACTCGTTGTGCTGATACATACCTATCAAAGGATTGTAAATAATACAAAAGGTTCTGTTTGTCAATAACTGTTAAATTTGCTGTTCTGATAAGAACGTATAAGTATGAACCAATTATTAATGATATCAACCAATTTCACTGCTAATTACTGATTCGAATATTTTTCTGACAGGTATCGACTCCAATTTAGTGTTGAAATATTATATAGAAAGCTTTTCTTATCGGTATACACTTTACTTGCCATTCCGATTTCTATGCATACGTATCAAGCGATTGCCTAAAATCCTCACAAATTTTATTTACTATTCCTGATTTACATTCTGTCACAACAAGTGTGCATACAAATCGAATCATAGCAAACCATACCAACAAATCTCAATTACAAACTCTGATGCACTTTCTGTTTCGATTGATATTTAGACCTCTCAAGCTATCACAAACAGTAGTAACCAATTTCACCATTAGTATTTGCTTTACATGCTGTCCTAGTAGACATGCATATCTATCCTGCGATTCAATATTGCTCAGTAGTGTCTTGAACAATAATACGATACAGCCCGAAGACTGGTAATTGCAACCTTTATGGTTACGTATCGGAATTAGAATGTAGGACAGAATGTAAAAATATGGCATTGCAACATCGGTTATGTATGGTAATTACTCATGTATAAGGGATGACTCATAGTTGGAACAAGGAGGCTTAGCGCTAGGATTATATAATCAGGGGATCATGTGGTACTAAGAACTATCTGTATATAAGGAGCAACAAACACCCACAGTTGTTGCTGGAACTCAGCGGCGAAATAGTATCTTCTTTGCACTATAAACATAGTCTTCACAAAGGTCACGTGTTCAAACCCTCCTCAAGTCGTCTATTCTCCCACACTCTAATTCACAGGTTATGAGCCCGGGTTCTGCCAAATAGAATCCGCACTACACCATCGCCACCTCGCCTAACTCATCAACACTTCATACAACATCATGTCTTCTGGTAGAGAATCGTCATCCAAGGCTCCTGAGACTAAACCCTCAGAGACAACAGCCACCAGTAACATTCGTCTCAAGTTTGATGGACTTCCTGAACTACAAGGAGAATCCAACTACCAAACTTGAGCGAGTGCCTGGAAGATAACATTCGATGCTGTAGATTGGTGGGAAGCGTTGAGCATCGAGAACCCTAATGAGAATGACACTGAACTCAGCAAAACCGAGATAAAGAAGGCTCTTAAATAAATGCACAGCCTTCTCATCTCTGCTGTATGCGAAGAAATACAACCAACAGTCATCTCCGCCGAAAATGAATTCCACGCATGGAAGGCGCTCAAAGATCTCTACGATCTTGTCTCACCCAACACCACGATCACCCTCCTCAGCCGCGTCCTAGACACGAAGATGCAAGAAGGTGGATCACTGACCGAGCATCTCGCAACCTTCGATGCGAACTGGAATACTGTCAATTCCAGATGCCAAAGCGCAGACCACAAACTCACTGAGGCTCTCCTACCCCTCATCAAATCCGACGAAGCCATGGCGGCATTCCTCCTAAGCTCGCTACCCAAATCGATGAGCAACGTTGTCGACAACATCTAGACTAAACAGGGTGTTACCTACGAAGACGTACGCCAACGGCTACAGAACCTGGATGAGGTAGCGCCTCAAATAGGGAACAAAGCGCTCCATACCAGGAGTACCACAAGCGACAAGGAATGCACCTGGTTCAAGAAAAGGGAACAGCCTTACAAAGGCCACGAGTACACGGAGTGCAGAAAGCTCAAAGAACAGAACAAGAACAGGAAGGGAAGGAGAAAGGACAACTCGGCATCGGTTGTAGTAAATGACTCTACAACCACTATCTGTATGGTACGCCACGACATCTACCAACCCCTTACTTGGATCCTTGATTCTAGAGCAACCTCTCACATCACACCCTTCCAAGTCCAACTCATCAACATCCGACCTCACACCGGCAACGTCCGAACAGCTGATGGAACCAACCACGCTGTCACCGGAATGGGAAGTGTTAGTTTCAGCTGCCATCTTCCCGATGGAAGTAGATCTTACATTCTCCTCACCGATGTGCTGTTGGTCCCAACCTTGGAAAATGTGAGATTGGTCTCCGAAACCGTGCTCGACAAAAAGGGATTTAGAACGGAGTCAGGAGGAGGAAGCAAGTTGGTTACAAAAGAAAAGAAAGGAATAATCTGTGCAAAATTGGAGAAGGGACTTTGGAATGTACAAGTAGTTAGCAATACAGTTCGTTTGACCACTTACGATGAATGGCATCAGGCGTTAGGCCACCCTGCGACACTAGAAAACTTGTATCACGACATTCAAAGGCAGCCTCCCAAACCAGAAAGTTTCCACTGCAGTCAATGAGCAATATCAAAAAGCGTACATAAGAAACCTGCACCAATTAGTACTAGATCCAAACAACCATTCGAACTAATCCACTCAGCTCTATCTGGAAAGTTTAGTATACAGTCACAAGAGAAAGCTCAGTACTATATGTCCTTCATCGATGATTACACCCGCTTCGCATGGATATATCTCCTGAAACAGAAAGAAGACGCAAAGAATGCCATCAAGGACTACGTTACCAGAATCGAGAAACAGTATAGTACAACAATACTGAGATTCAGAACGGATGGTGGCGGTGAATACATCAATAAGGACATAACGAACTACTTCGAGACACAAGGAATAGTTCATGAACAGACTCCCCCATACACTCCCGAATCTAATGGAGTTGCAGAACGATTCAACAGGACGGTAACCACAATAGTCAGGTGCATGATCATGGACCATCCTAAGTCGTTATGGGGAGAAGTATACGCAACAGCTGTCTACCACAAAAACAGGCTACCTCACAGTACGCTTAAGGCAAAGACCCCCTTTGAAGCCCTGAAAGGAACCAAGCCAAGTATACAACACCTTCAACCATTCGGCAAAAAATGCTATGTCCACATCCCAGAAAACTCTAGGCCAGCAGGAAGCAAACTAGCACCCCGAGCATATGAAGGAATCATAGTTGGATACTCAGACAGTAGTAAAATATACCGTATCTGGATAGGAACACAACATAGGGTAATTGAAAGTCGGGACGTCACATTCCCCCCTCCTGAATCAGGGAAAGTCTCAGTGGAACTCGAGTTCATCCCCAGCCTGAAACCAGATACGGCAAATGCACCATCAGACGACGGATACGAATCAGAAGACAGGTCTGATCCAGAACCTGAATCGTCAGCAATCGAAGAAAACCTGAAGGAAGACCAAGTAGACTGGAAGTTGGGTTGACGTGGCTCACTCTCGGACATAATCTTACAGGATCTGATAAACAAGACACCAATCAAAAACTACCAGGAGATTTCCCGGCATCACCGGAATGAAAGAAAGTCTAACCACCAACAACGCCAAAAAGAGAAAAGCAACCTGAAATATCAGATCCACCACCAGCTCCGAGACGATCGAATCGTGTCCGTAAGAAAATGGATTATGAACTTGATAAGGAAATAAGAAGGAAGGAATACAACAACAAGGTAATACAACTACAGGAGCAACAAAAAGGGTACATTGAATCAATTAGAGAGAACGGTCCAATGGATGAAGGTGAACAACAAGCTATGATTAAAGAATTCAAAGCCGACATCATCAAAGCCAGAAAGGATCTGGACCTAGAATACCAAGATGTATCCAATGAACCTGCGATCTACCATTTAAACCTTGTAACCGAACCTTCAACCTATAATCAAGCCATGAACAGCGACCATCAACATCTATGGAAAAAGACGATACAGACTGAGAAAGACGCCCTTGACAAAGCCCATACTTGGGACATTGTCAACCGACCAACCAACCGAGCAGTAGTCAAAGGAAAGTGGGTATTCAAAGTGAAACACAATGCTGACGGAACAATGGAGCGGTACAAAGCAAGGTACGTTGCCAAAGGCTTCACCCAAGTACAGTACCAAGACTACGATGAGACCTTCACCCCCGTTGCACGATATGATTCACTACGACTCCTACTGGCACTAGCTGCACACAACGGTTGGACACCACAACAAATGGACGTTAAGTCAGTCTTCCTATATAGCGTACTCAAGGAGGAAATCTACATGAAACTGCCTGAAGGCTACAGGCAGGACAATAAGGTTTGTAAACTTCGAAAATGCATATACGGACTAAAGCAATCACCCCGTGAATGGTATGCTTGCCTAGCAGACTCCCTTCAACGGAAAGGATTCGTACCAGCCAAATTCGACCCATGTGTCTTCATACATAAGAACCACTATCTATACATATTGGTGTATGTAGATGATATAATGATATTCGGACCCGACTCCCCATTCAGAAAAAAAATCAGACAACTACTCAAGGCAGATTTCGAATGTACGGATCTCGGTAACTCGAAGTTCATACTGGGAATAGAAATAACAGTAACCAACAACGGTATCACGCTATCACAACATGCATACATCAACAAGATCCTGGATAAATTTAGAATGAGTAACTGCAAACCAGTTGGCACACCACTCAAACCTAACCTCAACCTTCACAAAGGCGAACCGGAAAACCAAATCGAGAAACCAAGTGAGTACCAATCCATAATAGGATCACTGATGTACGCGAGTATAGCTACCAGACCTGATATCATCCATGCCATTACCCCTCTCTCTCAGTACTCCTCATGCCCAACCGAGGACCACCTACGAGCAGCCAAGCGAACTCTCCGACACCTCAACGGAATCAAAGACTGGAACTTGTTCTACCCGAACGGGAATACTAGAACACTCGACGGATTCTCAGACAGTTCCTACGCTTCAGACCTAGATGACAGAAAATCGTTCTCAGGATACGTGTTCAGACTAGGGAAGTCAGCTATCAGCTGGAGAAGCCGGAAGCAGAAATCAGTTGCAGTCTCAACAACAGAAGCCGAATACATGGCCCTGTCCCTCGCAGCTCGACAACTGGTATGGATTCTTAATGCCTTGTACGAACTCCAACAACAATACCGGTACTTCATACACGCCGACAACACAGGTTCTATTGAACTCTGTCGGAACCCACGCATCCACGACCGGTCCAAGCACATCGACGTTCACTACCACTACACACGTGAACAACTCGAAGCCGGAACCTTCGAAATCCTCTACGTCCCTACCGAAGACAATGTCGCGGACATAATGACCAAAGGACTACCAAAACCAGCTCACCAAAAATTGTCAGAATTGATACGATGTGGCAAGTGAGGGGAAGTGTAAAAATATGGCATTGCGACATCGGTTATGTATGGTAATTACTCATGTATAAGGGATGACTCATAGGTGGAACAAGAAGGCTTAGCGCTAGGATTATGTCATCAGGGGATCACATGGTACTAAGAACTATCTGTATATAAGGAGCAACAAACTCCCACAGTTGTTGCTGGAACTCAGCGGCGAAATAGTATCTTCTTTGCACTATAAACATAGTCCTCACAAAGGTCACGTGTTCAAACCCTCCTCAAGTCGTCTATTCTCCGACACTCTAATTCACACAGAATACTGAAGTGTCACTTTTCTATCTGTTTTTCTTCAGGTCGTTGTGATTCTATTGGTACAAAATTCAATTTTTGGTCAAAATGTAACAAATCAATATGTATTTGGTGGTGGTTGAAACCAGCTCGTGGGTAGTTAGGATTACGAGAGTTCAAATCTGATTTGGTGGTGGCTGGAACCTGGTTGTGGGTAGTTAGAGTTACGAGCGTTGAAAGCTGATTTTGTTACGTGTACAAAATACAATCTTCGGTAAAAATGAAATACTTGAATGTGTATTTGTTGGTGGTTGGAACCTGGATTTGGGTAGTTAGGGTTATGAGTGTTCAAATCTGATTTGGTTACGTGTACAAATACAATGTTCGATAAAAATGAAATACATCAATGTATATTTAATGGTGGTTGGAACCTAATTATGGGTAGTTAGGGTTACGGGGGTTGAAAGCTGATTTTGTTACGTGTTCAAAATACAATGTTCGGTCAAAATAAAATAGATCAATGTGTATTTGGTGGTGGTTGAAACCTGGAAGTGGGTAGTTAGGGTTACAAGCGTTGAAACTTAGTAAAGCGGTGACCTGGAGTAAAGAATGCGAGAGCGTAAGAAGCCACATCAGTGACAAATAGTACGATTCGCCCAATACGGTAACCCAGGGTTCAGAATCTGAAATTTATATATTCCATCGAAGCAGAGGATGGAGAAATGCGGCATCATTGAATTTCATGTGCCGTCATGATCGTGGGCTTGAGACGGTACGTTCAATGTAATGCAGTCATCGATCGTTGTACCCGCCCGGTGAGTGGCGATGCCGGGAGTGAACCAGGACGGGTCGCCAAGACTCACTGTGAGTTACCTTACTCAACAGCCCCCAACCACCACCTCCGCCCCCGCAATCACGACCACGACCCACTGTACGTGCATACCTGATGATGGGAATGAACTCGGGTCGTCCTGTTCGACCCATAGCTACGGAGCCCAGAATTGTGGGGCGACGGTTCCTGGGCAACCTCAAAATCCTGTCCGACATTGCACTACTAGAACTAACCCTAACCTGAGCCTAGCTCTAACCCTAACTAGCCCTAATCCTAGCCAAAGATAACGTTCCCCAGCTGAAATACTTGTTTGGAAACCAAATCTCCGGGGTATCGCCCGTCACCAGCTCGTCGACCTGAAACAAGGTAAAGGGGACATTGCTACTTATTACTCACAGTTACTCCATATTGTAGCGTACCTAGACTCCAACGAAGGAGTCAAGATCGATGCCCTAACCGAAGGACTGTCGGAAGATCTGAAGGATGCCATGACACATTGGACAGACAGGCCTAAGTACGTAGAGGCATGCGCAACCATGTTAATGACAATCGACAACCAGGTTCGGGGCCATAAAGCTGAACAACTGGCTATCTGTAATACGATGGGACAATTTACTACCCCCGCCGCTGTCGAACGCCCATCTCATACCGCCGGAGGCCTCGTCCCAATGGACCTCTCCACCCTCCAAGTCCGTCCCGCTCAACGCCCTGCCACCGAACAACGATACACATTTGTCAATGGACAACGTAAAACCTCTGCCACCGAAAAACAATGGCGAAGGGACAACAATCTCTGTATGTACTGCGCCAATGCCAGCCATGTCTTCGCCAACTGCCCCTCTGCCAATTGCCCGCGTGGTAATCAATCGGTTATGAGGGGCGCCCTTCTCGTACCCGTTCATACTGCCACCGACCGTGCTGCCCCACCGATGGCTAGTCCCGCCTCCTCCGAGTCGGGTTTTCAGTAGTCTCGGGCTTGATCAATAGTCCCTACCCCGGACTTTCTAATGTTTCTCCTTTGTCTACGTTCTCTATCTCTGTCTTCTCGGTATCATCTGTGGAGGATAAATTGGATGGGGATCATTTTGTTGCTTCGTGTAAAATTGTAAACAATAAAATATCCATTCAAACTCACGCATTGATTGATACCGGTTGCTCCCGGTTCGCATTCATTGATGAAACATTCGCGCGTTATAACAACCCCCCATTTCTCTCTCTTAAATCACCCCACACTCTTTAAGTCATCGACGGACGGCCCATATCTTCCGGACAGATTACCCACCTCTGCTACCTACCGCTATCAATTGGTTCCCACTATGAAACTATTTCATTCTTCGTCACCAAACTCGGCTCATATCCACTCGTACTCGGAATCCCTTGGCTTCAATTACACGACGCCACATTACAGTTTAAGGACAATAGCATACTGTTCGACTCCGAATACTGCAAGCACAAGTGTAACTCCTCCGCAATACCCATTCCCATTAGAGGGATTGCACCACCACCCTATTTCCACCTCGTCAGCTCAGCTACTCTCTGCCGCTTCGTTCGAATGGACAAGCTCCAAATCTTCAGCACAACTATCGAGGAAATAGACTAAGCCATGGGCGAGCCCCTTAAGTAAGACTGGAGGAACCGAGTCCCAACCCGGTACAAGAGGTTTCACGAGATGATGGACAAGAAGTTCACTAATAAAATGCCCCCTCGCCGCCCCTATGACCATAAGATACCGCTTAAGGAAGCAAAAGAGCCCCCGTTTGGGCCACTTTATGGTATGTCTCGTGAGGAACTCATCGTGCTTAAGCAATACATACAGGACAACCTCCAAAAAGACTTCATTCAGGCCAGCTCTTCACCTGCCGGTGCCCTTGTGCTATTTGTTAAAAACGCCGATGGAACACTCCGTCTCTGTGTCGATTATCATGGCCTCAACGAACTCACTATCAAAAACCGCTACCCGCTGCTGCTCATCCGGGAAACTCTCGACCGCCTCTCCAAATTCAATTGGTCCACCAGACTTGACATTCGCTAAGGGTATAATCAGATCCGAATGGCTGAGGGTGAAAAATGGAAAACAACCTTCCGTACACGTTACGGACATTTCGAATATACAGTGATGCCCTTCGGCCTTACCAATGTGCCGGCCAGCTTCCAACACTTCATTAATGGTTGCGTCCATGACTACTTTGATATGTTCTGTACAGCCTACCTTGACGATATTCTCATCTACAGCGACACCTTCGAGGAACATCAAGTACACATCAAAAAGGTCCTGAAAGCTCTACAAAGAAATGGAATACTGCTGAAACCAGAGAAATGTAACTTTCATACATAAGGCACCACCTACCTCGGCCTTATTATCGAACCCAATGGTATTAAAATGAACCCGAGGAAAGTGGAGACAGTGAAGAATTGGACCGTCCCCAAAATAGTTAAGCATGTGCAAGCATTTCTAGGTTTCGCTAACTTTTACCGCCGATTCATACGTGGATTCTCGGAACTGGCTTCCCCCCTTACCAGACTGACACGTAAGAATATATCATTTGAATGGACACCTGAAGCCTAAACTGCCTTCAATACCCTGAAAGAGACCTTTACAATGGCTCTCATCCTTACCCATTTCGACCCGGAGAAAGATATTATTGTGGAAACCGACGTATCTGACTATGTCTCTGCGAGTGTACTCTCTCAATACGATGATAATGGTACCCTTCAACCCGTCCCATACTTCTCAAAAAAGCACTCCCCCGCCGAATGCAACTACGAGATTTACGAGAAGGAATTACTGGCGATTATTCGATCCTTTGAGGAATGGCGACCGCAACTTGAAGGAGCTGCACACCCAATCGCCGTCATCTCCAACCATGAGAATTTCGAATAGTTTATGAGTACTAAGCACCTCAACCGGAGACAAGCACGATGGGCGGAATACCTATCACGGTTCAATTTTGTCATTAAGTACGGACTAGGGAAACAAAGAGGGAAACCGGACGCATTGACAAGAAGATCAGGAGATCTCCCTGGAGAGGGGGATTAAAGGCAATTACACCAGAGCCAAGTTGTATTGATGAAAGAGAATCTTGACGTAAAGCTAAGTTTGTTGGTGGGTTCTTTCTCAAATGAGCCCGCTGAAAAGAACGCCTCACTGAATAGACTATTCGATGAAGGATATAGTGCTGACCCGTTTCCACAAAAGATACTTGATATGCGGAACAAAGGTGAATGACAATCAAAGGACATATCACTCGCCGAATGCACCGAGGTTGAAGGCCGGCTGCTTTACCGAGGCAGCATATATGTACCCGACTACGACCCTCTCAAGCTCCGAATTCTCCAACTTTATCATGATGCCCCCTCCACCGGACACCCTGGATGCGAAAAAACATTCGAACTCATCAGTCGAGACTACCACTGGCCCTTTATATGGAATTATATTGCCCGCTACGTTCGGAACTGCCATACCTGTCAACGAAGCAAACCCAACACCCATGGAAAACTCGGCGTACTTCGACTATTACCGATTCCCGAACAACCATGGCAGGAGGTATCAATGGACTTCATAACTAGCCTACCTGAGAGCGAAGGGTATGACGCGATTATGGTAGTTGTTGACCGGTTAACAAAGATGCGAAATCTCCTGCCCTGTAATACCACTGTCAACTCCGAAGACGTCGCCCAACTATATCTGGGAAATATATGGAAGCTCCACGGATTACCTACACATGTCACCTCCGACCGCGGTACGCAATTTACAGCCAAGTTCTGGAGGGCTCTCTGTAAACACCTCAAGATCGAAGCCAGAATGTCTACCGCCTTCCACCCGGAAACCGATGGCCAAACTGAAAGGTTGAACGCCGTAATGGAACAATATCTACGTGGATATGTCTCTTATCAACAGGACGATTGGGTAAAATAGCTCCCTATGGCAGAATTCTCCTGCAATAATCAGGTCTCTGCATCCACCAAAGCTACACCATTATTCGCGAACTATGGTTTTCACCACCGGTTTACAGTGATAATTAAATCGCTTGATAGGACCCCATCAAGCCTCAATGTTAAAGACTTCGCCTTGAAGATGAAGGAACTCCACGAACACCTACGTTCCAATATCTGCACAGCGCAAGACCAACAAGAGCAGGCCATTAATACTAAACGAACGCCGGCTCCGCAGTACAATATCGGCGATATGGTATTTGTTTCAACAAAAAACATCCGAACCACCCGTAACTCTCGGAAGTTGGACTGGAAGAAACTGGGAGTGTTCTCCGTTACAGAAATCATATAGCCATATGCGTACCGAATCGACCTGCCTAGAAGTATGAAACTGTACCCCGTCTTCCATGTATCGTTGCTAGACCCCGCTGCAAATGATCCTGTCCTGGGGCAAACTCCACCACCACCCCCGCCTATTATCGTTGAACAAGAAGATACGTATGCAGTTGAGGAAATCTTGGGCTCAAGGGAAACAAGAAACAATGGCCTGTAATATTTTGTTAAATGGACAGACTATACCGACCCTACTTGGGAACCCACTGCATACCACGATAATACCACCGCCGTTGATATCTTCCATACACGTTACCCCGACAAACCTGTACCATTGGAAGGGAAGATTAAGGTTAAGGCTCGCAGGAGCTCGCGCTTGAAGGGAGGGGCTACTTTAATGGATCGACTAGTGAATACACTGGGTTACGAGGAGTTGGATTAGTCAGAAGGGTTCTATTGGGTTCTACCGGGTTCTGTTGATTGTTAATGTATGAGTTACTTTGGATCTGTCATCGCTGGGATTTCATTAGGTATATTAAGGGGAGTTCGTTCTTATTTCTTGTTCTTTTCCTTTTCTTTCTTTCTCTACGCAACGTCTTCTATACCTACTCTGTCTATTATTATAGAATATTATCTTCCTCTTCTTTACTCGAGAAGACCACCGCTTCGCTGACCCCCTGTCTCATTGACCCTTACCGACGCTAGAGTCCCTCAGGACCCCTATTGCGAGTTCCCAGACCGACCTCTGCTAACCCCTTCGTACTCTGCGGAATACTCGCTACTCGCCTCCTTGAGAGCTAATTACATTAAGACAGAAAAAAAATTCTGGTGTCCGATTTGTTGCTTATATCAACAAAAAATAATATTATTAAAATATTACTAATCAAACTACCAAGAAAAAGCAATCTAATACCTGGCCAATCACAACCTTTAAATAACACATTGCATATCAGTATATCTATGTACTTATAATATTAGATACCTCTACGGTCATTTTGATATATCAATCGATGTATTTCGTTCCCATTTCGTGACATTCGCGAGGGTATTCGAGGGGAAGCAATGCCGATATCTCACGTTACTCAGCACACTCTATGCAGGTGTCTGATCACTTATTACCTATTGCTGTGCCTATCAGATGATGTAGGTTCGCTATGTTGATGAAAACTCTACTCTACATGTAGGTAATGTGCTCCTAGAACTGCGGGTATTTCCCTGGAATTAAGATCCAACACATGCACATGTACCTATGTACTATCCTGGAGTAGCGCTGGCCCGGTGCTCTACTCTATAAATTAAATAATACTGATTACCAACATGTACATGCAGATGGAATTACTACGCCAGTGTGAAATTGTTTCTTATCATACAAATCTGTCTGTGAATAAGTCTGCTTGTGAATAATCTAGCGATATGTATGTAACTTCAGGAAGTCCTTCCTTGATTCCCTTATGGTCATGAGGGTACCTCCCTTCCCAAACTATAGGACATAGGGAAATAGAAATTTTCATTCTTCCTTCCTCTATTCTTTCGGCAGATTTTTGGCTGATCGGGGCCCGTCATTTGTGTTTTGGATAGTTTCTTTTTCTCGAGCTATTGCTGAGCCCTGAGTCAGCTAAAAATAAAACTTATGTACCTAAGTACTTTGGAGGTTATCTTAGGTTACCGTTTCTTTTGGTATTCAATTCTGCTATTCAGTAATTGTGATATGTTTTGTGATTTTGATACGTTTCCCAGCTTGTATTATATACAGGAGATGTATGATGTAGGTATATACATGTATGTATGATAGGGAAGCGCTACACCGCACATATATTCCGTGCCGTATTTGTCTAGATCTAGAGTATGTACCGTAGTATTTGGGGAAATTCATTGTGCTTCAGCAGGGGTATAAGCTAACCAGAGGCAGTCTTTGGACGTCAATATGCACAAATACTCTGGTATGAGGGATATGGAGCGCAACGGTATATGTAGAGTATATAGACTTAGCCGGAGGGACATGGTGAGATATCGATAGCTGATATAGGCACGAAAGTAGACTTAAGGCCTAGCGATAACGCATCGATTGCTTTTTGAGTATATGTACCTTAGTCTACAGTGGACTCACTCTCAGGAGTCGGAGTCAGAGGATAGTCGGCCACCAGATTCTGATGGGGAACATGCACATGACTTATGTAAGCTTTGAAACATTGGTTTCTCTACCCCGCTGCATGCATGCAGGACAGCAGATAGAGTAGAGTACACTCTAGTAGGTACTCCACGTATGTACAGTGACGTACAGATTCAATAGGCACGCCATAGGTACAGCTATATATACTCTATTTGTAGGCATACATAGGGAAGAAACGGTGGCCAAAACTAGTAATGTCTTGGGTTTATCGCTCATAAAAATCATGCGTGGTGTTTAAAGCAGGCAAGGCTAATGGTAAGGACACAAATTATGCTGAATTGGCACTTGTGTAAGTCTGTCTCGTGCCCAGACCCAGCTTGCAGTTAGCACGGGTTCGAGCCTCACTGGTACTCGCGAGGTAAAAAGAATAGCTACATGTAGTATGTACATTACTTTAGGGTCGGAACGGGTATTTCTATAAGACAGATTTGTAGAAGGAAAGCCTTATTTTTGTCTTATGTCTCAAATAATCCCAAAATTAGCCTGATTTGGGCGTAATCATGACTATTGCTCAGGATTACGCATATATCAGGCTTTATTAAGGCTTTTTCTAGGAGTCAGACTTCTGAATAGATAAGAATTAGAGAAATTCTTAAGGTCTAGTACGGGAACTGGGGGGACCGGGGGAGTAAAATTAAGGTTTCGTGGGTTAGGGTTAGGCACTTCGCAAATATCAAGCTGTCTGCGCTGCCTGTATCTACATCTCATCTCCATCACCTCTACCACCTCCGTACCATCGAAATTCCCCACCCCTCTTTTCCCCCACCCCCCAGCATCAGAGTTATGATCAAAATATGCGCTAATCAGTGAATTGAATAGCGAATCCAGCAGCGAATCCAGCAGCGAATCCAGCACCAAATCGAGCACCAAATACAGCACCAAAATACAGCACCAAAATACAGCACCAAATCGAGCACCAAGTAGAGCACCAAATAGAGCACCACCAAATCGAGCACCACCAAATCGAGCACCACCAAATCGAGCACCCATTAGGTCGATAGGCGGGTAGGCAGGTACATCGTAGTTCTGTATTTAACATTTCGTACGTTGTGACTCCGAGCTTACCGTCGCCGAAACAACTGGCCCTCATCTCTGCCTGATACCGGCCTACATGACTAAAAAGCATTTCCCTTTTTTAATATAATGATTCATGGTAGAGCTAGAGCTCAATAGTAAGATCTATAATACCTACATGTAGGGTATATATGTTTAGTGCCGCGCCGCATAGAATTATCAAAGTCAGACAAACAACATTCTATGCATACACACTACCTATACTTTGCATGTATGTAGCCATACCTACATATACCCTTGCACCACCGGCAGTAGCTCAGTACACCCACCCCAAAAGCATTTATTTGGCTATAAACCTTCCTCCATAATCACGACACTCACTATATGCCTCTGGAAACACCTCCAATCACCACCAATCACCACCAGCACCACCAAACAATGGCACTCATTCTCCCTTCAGAAATCATCTCAACAATCATCGAGTGTGTAAGTAGTCAGATCTGATCCACTTCCACCGTTGGATTCTTCCACTCACAGACCACATCAGGCGGCAGAGATTGACTACCTTGATAAACATTGCCACAGACACAACATACACCTGCTCCCCAACCTCTGTCTAGTCTCTAGGCTGTTCTATAGGCTCTCGTCGGCCCTCATTTACCGCGACGTGATTGTCCCTGCCGGCTGGGAGCTCGGAAACATCATCAAACAACTTGTCCCCCTTCTTTCGCTTGAGCAACGTCGCAAGCTCCGGGAGTCTCTGGAGCCGGCTCAGCCCGATGGGGATGAAACGGAGCTCCTCCAGGGGGGTGAACTCGAGGATGCAAAGCAGCTTCTTGTGGATCGGGAACGAATCGTGGACCCAGCATGTGTCAAGAGGCTGATATTATGGGATTCGGATGTTAATGGCGAAACAGATCTGTACCGCGAGTGTTTTTGGCGGGCTATCGATGTGGCCATGGCAGACATGGCCGGCTTGCAATATTTCCAGTAAGGACAATACCGCCGCAGCGGGGTAAAGCTTTCCTGCGTACTCAATGGCTGCTGACGTACGTTGGGTCGGTGGATAGTAATGAGATTGGATGGGATTATCCACCCCTTCTTGAGCAACTGTCAACCCTACAGTCCATACATCATCTAGGTACCGGAAGGGCCGACAGCTCATCCCGCCTCGAGCTACCGCTTAAATGCCCGCTACGCTCCCTAAGCATATTCTACGAGTGGTTCGAGGAAGAGACCGTTGCAGCGTGGAGTCGAATCCTGAAAGAGTCCTCAAGCTCACTCCGGGCACTACATCTATCGTTCAATACTAGAACGATATCCGCCCAGTCTATCGATAAAACACTCCCCACCTTGCTCACAGACCAGAGAACATCTATGCCTATTGCGTTGCCGCAGCTGGAGGAGCTTTACCTCAGGGTCCGCGAGGAAATGCCACCCCCATACTGGCAAAGTCTATAGATTTTGGGCGGTTGCTATTTCTCCAACTTGTTGGCGTGGCTTACGGAGTTTTTGGTGAGAATTTACAAATAGCTAGTATACAGCTAAGTAGGCTCCAGAGACCTAGTCTCTCTCTTCCGGGAAGCATCGTTCCGTTGGTGAAGAGATGCACGGGTAGCCTCGAAGAGGTACATATCATGAACCGCAATTACCCTGACTCCCTTGTCGCCGAGATATTACCAGAGATTTTTAAACATGGTGGGACGCTTAAAGTACTCTCGTTAAGCAATTACCCTTCAATGGACACCGATCAATTCTTCAAACTTACTCATGAATGCTCACAATTGGAACAACTCCTGGTCCACGTTGAGATATTGGACTGGGTATGTGTAAAGGAAAGCTCAATTCCACAATTCCTGGCTCTATCAATCCTTTCCGCACGCTTGTTAACCTTCTATCTCATTCAAACAGAACAAGATGGCACTCTGTCTCATGGAAGTTCCACGGCTCAGTTATCTCCACTTGATGGGTTATACTCTAAGCTCAAATTCCAACATTCACGCCATTACCCCTAACGATGGCCAATGGTGGCATCCTGATGACCCCCCCCCCCCCCCCCCGGAACCTCCAGAGCTACTCAACCCCCTCGACTACACCGTGGGAGACCTCCTTTACCACAGTATAAAGTCATGCAAAGATCGTATGATCCCCTGGCGCGCCGGCTGCAGCCTCCGGTATATTAGGATCTCCGCAATAGGAGTCAAGAGTCACTCGGTCGCTCAATACATCTCCCGGGCCTACGAGCTGCGCCAGGGCTCTTTCGAGGTGGAGCCGCATGCGCTTCATTCGGACACGGAGCTAGCACCTAGCGGAACGGAATACACGTTTGAGAACAGCGGTTTCCGAGTAGCGATAAGAGCGATTGAGCCTAACACTAGGTACGTTAGGGACATGGGGCAGAGAGCGGTGCCGTCCACATGGGCGTGGGAGTGCGCGTTTAGAAACTCGTTCAGAAAGGATCCCCTCCCGTGAGCAGGTGATCTAACTCATTAATTAGCCTAGTGGGGAAGGAGCATTTGGTGGTGAATCCTTATTTAGACGCAATGTATACACACGCAACGAGAATAAGTTCTTAAGATACACTCCAATAACAGCTACGACATTTATGAGCATACCATTCCGACATGATGATAGCCTGAGCCATATGAAGTCTTTTCAATCTTCCTCCCGCTGTACATATGTAAGGCGTTTCAACAATGAAGCAAGGGCCTTACGTCTTATAACTCTTGTTTTTCTAGCATAGCCGGTAGTCAATGTTTCAGTGGGTTAGAAATGAATTCATTTTCGGATTGGTAAATCCTTTGTTAGTATACTTCGAAATAGCTACTGCTATCAAATCCGCGGTGAGGACGTTTCAGTGAGCAAAAACACCGTAGAACTAGTGTTCTCTATTAGACGAGACGTCTCGAAGTCTTGCCTGGAACATCTCGATATCAAATATTATTGATCTTCAGACCAGGTTGAATCTATCAAGATATACATACTAATAGTGCCATAGGTGTTGGTGATAAAAATGAAGTCTAATTCTACCCCGAACCCATGTGGGCCACTCCCAGACAGCACATCAGCTGTTTGTTACACGTCTATCGGGTATAATTTGAGAAGCTAGACCAGGAAACAGCTAAGAACTAAATAGAAGAAGAGTCAGGGAAGACATAAAGTTAACCTGTTTTGTATCTACTAGCGTTGTTAGGTTACGTCGTGGCTCGCGCATCGTGGCAACAAGGCAAGGAAGGTAATATAAGGGACGATGAAGGAGGAGCTCACTTGTATTTTTTTTCTCTTCTTCTTTCTTTAGGTCTCTCTACTCAAAAATCGCTTACATAACTGAATCGTGTTCTTTTCTTTCCAACAAAGTGATAAACCTTTCTATCATTGTGCAAAGCTTTAATTTCGTTGGGTTCTTGGCTCACAAATACTCACTCGGTTTTCTCAAGCCTGTCTCGGGACGGATTTGTTTTTGATTTATTATGTCATTCGTGTATGCATCGAGGGGCGGACGAGAGAAGAAGAGATAGGTACTCTCATCCCACAAGATAAGACAAGATTGGGCCTTACTTTGGTCTCGAACGGTGTCCTGGAGAACACTACGCGCGCGGCAGAACACTTTAAAGCTGACCATCATGTAACTTGTAGGAAACAACGTGGACAAACATTGACGACGTTGCAATTGCAAAAACCCGGTCAAACTCGTAGATTAATGGACCTAGCGCAGTGCGTCTATAATATTCCCGTGAACGCCATTCCCATTACAGAATACTTGTATTTAATTGAAATTAGTGATGGGCACGATCTAGACGAGAGGAGAAGAGACTTTCCTTCGCCTTTTATTGTTTAAACTAAGTCTTGAAAATCTCGAGACAGTTGCCTAGTCTCGTCAAAGTCTCGAGACGTTTCGTCATATTACCTTATGGCGGGGAAAATGCGCAAAGGCTCTCTTATCACACTAATTAATGCAACAAAAATATCAGATTTTCTTATTTTTGGGGGAGATAGGGCTGGAGACTACTGTAACGAGCACTGTGATTGGTACGTCTTGGCTAATTGTCAGTTTGTATTTATGGTACAGGGCCGATTTGGTGCTGACAAGTAATTTCGATCATGCTATGGCGCCGGCCAACGTACTTAACATACCTTTCTGGCCATTGCGCCAGACAAAAAAACGATTTATTGGGCACATATAACCTACTTTTAGTACCAATAAATTTCTTCTCTGGAGGTATATATCCGATTTTGCGTGAGTACTAAACTCTGGTTTTAGGTGTGGTTTTACAGTGGCCATTACCAATATTTCCCATAACTTGTAAGCCTAGCTACTCCTTTAAAAAATTAAAATGAAAGGAACTGGAACAGACAATCTGTAGTCCTTGTGATTGCCTACTAACTGCCCGTCTTTAAATTTCGACTTCCTTATTTTTGATGGGCCAGATATATTGGCACGGGAATCGAATTCGGTAAGGGAATAGGGTAGGTTTAGAGCGACCGGCGCGGCGCCATAAGGTACACTCACGGTTTTCCAGTAACGTATGGGTTCTTCTCCTCCAGTACAAACCTGCCCCCATCTATGAAAGATCAAGCTTTTTTGTTTCTTACTATTACTGGCATCTCAAATTATGCTACAGAGGTTTTGCTGACCTGACGTGACATCGTACTATAATTAAGGGACTAAAATCGGCCGCTGCAGCTAACAGCTGATGTACCAACCGTAGTACTCGCTACAGTATGTTTAGGTGGGGAGAAAAAAGTCAAAAAGACTCGAGACTTCCGCGTTGAACCCATTACACCCAAATAGTTTTAGATATAGAGAATTTTAAAACATACACTTGATAGCTCTGATGATTATCTACAGCGTGGCTGCTTTGAACTCCTTCATTTACTAATTTAACACTGGGTTAATATACAGGTTTTCTAGCTAGGGTAATTTTGGTGCGGAGGTCTCCAATGCCAGTTTTAGGAGCAATTTCTCAAGGTTAGGTGTAAATATTAGTAGGGCGAATTATTCAGCGCAGCGTTAGTGAACTAAGGGTCTCAAAAACTAGTTCTTGAATAAAGAAATGGTTTCTTATAGCTAAGAATAGATTATATGAGCGAAATAATCATTTTTCCTGGGATAATATATATCCGCAATTGTAGGTTTATCGCGACCGGCACCATAGGCCGATCAAGTTGGGTTTTGTCTTAACCCCAGCCGTCAAAGGAAGCTTAGTACACTGTTGATCACGATCAGTACCGTCTCCTTAATTCACAAGCTCAAGTCTAATAGGATATGCTATCCTACATCAAGCAACCTCCAAATTATCTGGGTGAGGGCCGGCGCAGCTGGTTAAGTTGCTGTTCTTAATTCTCTAAACGGCCAATGATATGAAATTTAAAAACATATATTCTAGCCAAGCTGACGCGTACAAATTAAAGCAGTGTTATAAAGGCAACAATAAACAAATCAACCAAACAATATAATTAATGAATTAAACAAAAGAAAAAAGAAAAGAAAAACCAAACAATATCATAGAGGCAGCGATGAGTGATATTACATGATGAAACCGAACAAAGTACATACATAGAAGCAGTGGTGAGTGATATTGTATGATGCAAGGCCGGCCACACAACACACCGATACATGTATTTTCGATTATATATTTATTGTACGCCACTAATGCTATTTTAAATCTCGCTTCTATATCATATTTCAAAAACATTGGGAGCACAAGTGTTTGTACTCGCCGAGGTCGGTCCCATTGATTATATCACGATTTCAGGCATCAAAATAATCCGTCACGTATATACCAGATATGCACCCATTGGAGCTCGGCGTAAACGTTAGAGCCTACCACTTCGCGCGATTGCGACCGCCCTGTATTGTGTGGAGACCTGGTTGGCTCGACGGATCTTCCTGTCATAATGCTTGAAGGCGTGGTCAAAGCGCAACACTGCGCCCGGGCTCTTGGGTCAAAGAGCTTTAAAGGCTAAAGTTACTGCTGACCGGCGAAATTGTATTAGGTATCTTACTGCATTCTACCCCAAACCGACAAGGATTTCCATGTCATACCATGGGATCCAGTGGCGGTTTTTATATCCGGGGTTCACCGCCATATATCGCATCCTCCCCATGTTTTTTTTTTGCCCGCCCGAGCACGTACATACATACATTAGTGGTATGGGTCCGTTAGATCTGATATATTAGCAGAGTGACACGCATCTCAGTGCAGGATTTTAGCTTGATGACACCAGTACGGTAGCAGGTTTTACAAGTCTTTTTCTTTTCCAAATTAGCTCGTACGACCTAGGAATTATAATTATACGGTTCATTATCCACCTAATCTTGGGTGTTCGCGAAAGGTTTTATGAATGCAAATAATAACTACATATACCTCTGATATTAGCAGGATACCATTTTACAGGAGATATTTTCAATAGACAGGGTTCCCCGCGTTTTCCACACATGAAACTTGCAGGCTTTCGGAGGCAGTGGTGGTACGTGATATATCCCGGGAAGTGTTGCCAAAAATACATACCCAAACTTGAATTAACATCCTGCTACACTCATTTCATGAGATATATGCTGATACAAGACGGCAATGATATAGGATCTTTGCATAAGCGATCGCTAATGATGAGAAGGCTGTGCAAAAGATGTCCAGTTTGCTATACTTCCTGTTGAACCATGATCGAGTCTCCACTGAAATGCAAGTTTCAGCGATTCAAATGTCCCAAAAGAAAGATTCGGTACATAAATAGTACCAAACAACCAGTTCTTCCTGAAGCACGTGCATGTGCCAGGCGGCTCGGTACTACAACGTTTCACGGATCATCCGGGTTCCAGGAGTGCAATTAATTTAGCTCCTTCATAGTGGATCACTCGGCGTTCTTTTAGACTATCTGGCTCCATCTCCTCGGAGAGATGAAGCTAGCTAGCTGGAGGCCGGTTTGTACCTGGATTTTATTCAGTACGACGTCTGTCCTAGAGAATACATATTGCATGTGCTCGAGCTATATGATTCCAACGATTGAGAGTCGATAGACCGTGCATACTACATGTAGTTCGACCATGTATGTAGTTACCTCCAGCCTCGCCCGGTGTCTCCACATCTATTATATCTCAGGGCTAAGCTCGGGTATTCCCGTTAACACTCGCAGGGAAGTTGATCCACGGCAGGTGGCATTCATGTATGCATCCAGTGCGAAGCGATTGTGCGCACATGTACATCCGCGACGTTCCGGAATAAACACTCTTCTTGCTACAAGGCATCCATACATGTGTATACTTATGTACATGTATGGTCGTGATGTTCTACATACATACATGTAAATAAGCAATTGCCTGAGACGAATATTACAAAAATTGAAATCTCGCATATACGTAATTACATTATAACCTTTAATTGAGGTCTAGCTGTTAAGCCCGGCTTAATGCCTAAACGTAACCCCCCATCCACCCACCCCGCGCCCCTTCTCCTTGCTTCTGTTCGTCATCA